ACTGCTGAAGATAGGACAAACTTTGGACACAGGACTTAGAGCAATGGTGAAGGAACTGACCTGGAAGTGTAACTGTGAAAGTTCTAGAGCATACTATGCAAACTGCTAAGGAAGAAAATAAATCAATGGTCCAACCAAGCCCTAAAAACTGGCACAGAAAACAACTACCTCTATTGATGCAGTAGTGGTACTCCTATATGGGGAGTAGTCAACTACTCTCTAATTGAGTTTAAAGACCTTTCAGTGTTAGTGAACTAATGAGTGGCACTGTAAACAAAGCAAAATATACATGGTTTGAGAAGTAATAGACCCTAGAGAAAACCCTATCTCTGTCATATCTCTAGACAAATGAAATTACTTAATATGTTAAATATGAAGAATTACTTTTACAGATAAGTATACCATATACCACTCTTCAAAGAAGTTTCTTTTTGCAACAAATGGAGGCTACTGCAAATCTCACAACTTGTCAGACACAGACAATATATGTCAGAGAGATCTCCAGTTCTAGGTGACATATCTACAGTTGAAACTTTACACCTAAAGCTCATGGAACATAGCAGACCTGGGTGTAGACAGCAAAATAGTGCATCCCTCAGCTCTCATCAGTGAAGCTTCCTTGTACCACAATGTGTGGTACACACAGAAGGCCACAACTATTAAAGAATAAGAGGCTGCAGAGTGTGTGTCCCTGGATAGGACTCCTATATTAAACCTTACCCACCCATGGATCAGGGACTATTTAGAAAGAAGGGGGCATAAAGATTGTCCAAGTCAGGGATAGTTCATGAACATAGGGAAGCAGTGAATTTCAGGCTGCTGGAAGCTTGCACATATGAATTCTCAGCAATGATGGAATGGACCACAGGATGCATGCCAACTCAATCCAAAAGCTTACTGAAAATCTATAGATAGGGTGACTAGACTCCAGTGAATGAATTTGCATCAAAGGACATCTAGATACAAATGCTTGACTGTATAGAACTCAACACATATGGCAGAATACATGAGGTCCAGTTGGGATGTCTTAATTTGATTAAGAACTGTTGTATAAAATGTACAGAGCCAAAAATAAATAAATAAATAAAATTTAAAATCTTATTAAAGCATTCCCGACTTTATTTAAAAATGCTTTGGTAGAATGAAATTCACTAGGGAATTCTAAATCATGAATTTATAAATCTGTCATACTGTGCTGGATAGCTTTAGTTGTCAACTTCACACATCTGAATAGAGGGAGCCTCAACTGGGGAATTGCTTCCATTGGACTGACTGATGGTCATGTCTGTCGGGACATTTTCTTGATAATTGAGTTATGTGGGAGGGCCCAGGTCATTTTGGGTGTGCCACCTGTGGGCAGGTGGTCCTGTATTGTATAAGAAAGCAAGCTGAGCAGGGGACAGGGGAGCAAGCCGGTAAGCAGCATTCCTCATTGACTTTTGCTCCAGCTCCTGCCTCCAGGTTCCTGTCATGAGTTCCTACCTTGGGTTCCCTGTTGAACTCTGACCCAAATAAGCCCTTTCCTCCCCAAGTTGGAATTGGTTAGAGGGTTCCTTCACAGCAATGGACAAACAAACTAGAACAATTACCTATTAAATTATTACAGGAACAGCATAAATCTTTTAGAAAAATATATTTATGAAACCATAAAATTCAGTTAATTCTCTTTTGCTTGCTGTTCAGGTGTTCTATCATAAATTCTTAATTCAGAATAGTAACACAGAATTGTTTATTATTTTTAAAGTTTTAATAATTCTTTGAAAATTTCATATCATGTTTTATGATTATATTCATACTCCAGCCCCCCCAAATCTTCATAGATTCACCCTAACTCTCTCCAGCCCCAACATCATATCCACCTTTTTTTTTTTCAATAATTCATCCAACCCAGTTTGGATTTCCTGTGAAACCCTGGGGATGAGCTATCCAATGAAGCATAGTCAACTTCTAAGCTACTCTTTCTCTGAGCAGCTCTCAATTACCAACAGCACTGCAGCTGGGATCGACTTAATGACTACCTCCCCATCTATCCAAAAATTGTGTTTGGCTTGGGCTTACACAGGTCTTTTGTATATTGTCACAACTGCTGTTAGTTCATAGCTACAAATGGCCTGTTGTGTCATCACAAAACTATTTCAGCGTAGTTTCTACTGCCTTTGGCTATTACCATCTTTCACTTTGGTCCATCTTCCCCAGCGATCCCTTCAGTATGGAAGGAAGGGATGTAATTAGATGTCTCCTCTAGGGCTGTATCCTAACAGTATGCTAACATCTGCATGGTGTCAAGTTGTGGGGCTCAGAATTAATCATCATCTACTGCAAAAAGAAGCTTCTATAATGAGGGCTGAGGGATAAACAAAATTATTGGCATATAAATAAATCATTGAGGATTGGTTTAATAGTCTGTCCATTTTCAAGAATCAGAGTAAGTTCTCCCCAAGGGCCTATGACCTATGCAGTCACAAGTTTCTGGCCCTATTAATGATGCCAGGCAGGCATGGGTTCCATCTTGTAGACTGGAACTCAATTCCAATTAAAAAGTCATTTATTACTCCCATGACATTCATTCCTTTGTTTTTAAATTATGGTAGATTTATTAATTTATATAAACTAGAATGAACCATTTATGTAGATTAAAAATGTGTGATTATTGTCATTTTCAGCTTAATAAGCAAAAAAATCTTCACATTAAAACATTTGAACCATTTTTTTCTGGGTGGTATACACTCAAGTATAATTAGAACCTTTTTGAATTCTAGTCTTCAGAGGGGAGGTGGGTGATCATGATCTAACTGTAGAAAACTGAGAGTCATGGGCAGCCAATAAGCTACTGACTCTTTTCCCAAAAGAACATGATCCAGCATAAGACATCTCTGTTGCCAATAATTCCTTGTGTAAATGTGCAAACCTGATCTTAAGATGCAGTGCTTGCTTTAAGACTTGACTCCTGTAAGTATGCTTAGAAACTGGGAATGTAGGTTCATCCCAATAGTCTTATATTTCCTTGTATTGGTTCACCTTAAAATAAATTATTATACAATGAACAATTTGAGCATTATTTCAAACATCACAAAATAAGATTAGTAATTTTTCGTTCAATTGTTTTCTCATATTGTAGGAAAGGGTAATGTGTATTTAATATATACACACATAAAACCTATGTTTTCTATCCTTTTGTGCATAAATAAAATGGATTATTTAAGAAGTTAATATGGAGTATCTTAGAAACAAAATGCATTATTCCTATTTTATAATGGAATTATTTCCATTATAATATCATAGTAATATTTTGAAATCACTTAGGGATGTATTTGTTTACTCTTGTGATTCCAGTAAAACAATTTCAGAAAAAATTTTCCTGAGTTACTTTATCCTCTCAGTAACAAAATTGGTGTTTATTAAAAGTACTGAGTTCAAGGGCTGGAGAGATAGCTCAGCAGTTAAGAACACTGGTTGTTCTTGCAGAAGACCTGGGTTTGAATCAGAGCACCCACATGGTAGCTAACAACTATCTATAACTCCAGTTCCAGGGGATCCAACAGCCTTTTTTGTCCTCTGAGGGCATTGCACAACACAGGTGCACTTACCTACATGCAGGCAATGCACGCGTACACATAAAAGAAAAATAATTTTTTTTTTTAAGTTCTGAGTTCATAACAGTCCAGAACTGATGTTGCAAGAAAAAAACTCTTCCTCTTTCACAATACTGTTCTACTGGGGCTGAGAATGAATAGTCTTCCTAATGATGTACTAATTTTAAGTTAATCTATCTAAATCAAACTTTTATTTCCTTCAATTTGGGTTACTCTTGATGGTGTATGATCCCACAGACATCAAGATTTCCAGTAAGAAAATGAAGCTTGTTTCATATTTCTGATTTCTGAAATGTTAGTGATAATTATTTGATATTTAAGACAAGAAATTTATGGTAAATCTCCATAGCTACAACAGGCAAATAATGTAGGAGGTAACTGAGTATTTGCTTTTAGTTCATTTTTACTTTTTAATAATATTATCTCCATTATATGGAACTACATACATTTTCTTTATTTCCATCACAGGACCTGATATCCATGAAGGCAGCACACCTGTATGGCTTACTGCTTTATTTCTACTAGGTTGAGAAGTTAAAAAAATTATCAAACATTTCTAAATTTGTATGGATACATTATTTTAGCAATATTTGATAAAAAGTCTTAGTAATAATTCATTTCAGAAAACATGACTTGCGAATCAGCTTAAGTTCATAGAAGTGAAACTTGTCTACCAGACAGAGAGAGTGTCAATGCTTCACACAGTACATACAAGTCAACTGTACAATGGATTTTTCCAACATAGTGTTTAAGGTTGATTTTTAAAAAACTAAGGCAAAGTTATGCAAAGTGATATATTATTAAGTGACAATTTTACTTTGGGTCAATCCTTTGATACTAATAAAAAATTGAAATCTCTGCTTTTCCTCCTTACTCAACTGTAGAGAAAGGCACAGTCATTGATCTTACAAATCATCGATATAAGCATAAGATGAGGCAAAGAGGTATGAAACTCATAATTTGCAAAGAAATTGGTGCTATATAGAAGTCAGTTCTTTCAGCTTAATTGAGGGTGAAAATGAAATACGTTAATCATAAAACAGCCAAAAAAGTATTATGCCAACAGTCAGGTTGAATCTCATGTAAGCAAAGTAATCCTGAAGGAGCCAAGTCTTTGGACAATGGTGATACTATTAACTTTTAAATGTTTTTGTTTCTTTTCTTTTAAGGAGAGATTAATAAAATTAATGAATATGAAAAGCCTGGAACTTTGACTCACAGTATATGGAAATGTGACACTCAATTACTCTGCTGCAATAATTTATCTTTTGGATTTATCTACCAGAGGTCAAACTAAATGTTTCATACTATGACGAAAATCAGACACTGGAGGAAAGTCTATTTTTCATTGGTCTGGGGTGATCTTGTTTTTTAACAATGGAGGTACACACACCTGAAGACCTGGCAGGTTGGAATCACAAAGGTGTGAAGGAATTCATTCTGACAGGATTGACTGAAAACCATGCCTTGCAGGTTCCTCTCTTCTTGCTTTTCAGCCTTGTCTATTTCACCACTGTCGTAGGGAACTAGGCCATGACTGACTTGATCTGGTTGAATTCTTAACTTCATACACCAATGTACTTCTTCCTTAGGAACCTCTCTTTCTGTGATATCTGCTACTCTACTGTCTTAGATCCTAAGATGCTGGTCAATTTCCTGTCAGAGCATAAGTCTACTGCATTCATTGGCTGTATTCTGTAAAGTTTCTTTTTTCTAGTGTATGCAACCACAGATAGTATCATCCTATCTATAATGGCTTATGACCGCTATGTGGCCATTGCAAACCCCTTGACAGTACACAGTCATCATGACCCAAAGACTTTGCATGCAAATGGTTCTTGCATCTTACTTGGGAGGATTCATTAATTCATTGACACACACCAATAGGCTTGCTCAGATTGGATTTCTGTGGTCCAAACCTTGTGAATCACTATAGTACAAAGTCATCATGACCCAAAGTGTCTGCATACAGATGGTTGGTCCTTGGATGTTACTTAGCTGGGCTCATTAATTCCCTGACACACACAATAGGCTTGCTCAGATTGGATTTCTGTGGTCCAAACCTTGTGAATCACTACTTCTGCGACATCCCTCCACTTTTGAAGCTCTCATGCTCTGATGCACACACCAATGAGATGCTGCTCTTGATCTTCTCTGGAGTGATTGTCATGTTCACTTTCATCATCTTCATGGTCTCTTGTATCTCCATCATCAGTGCAATCATGAAAATCCTCTCACCTGAGGGGCAACGCAAAACAGTCACTACATGTGCCTCACATCTGACTGCTGTGACTTTATTCTATAGGTCAGGAACCTTTAGCAATATCCAGCCAAGTTCTCATTACTCTCTGGAACAGGAGAAGGTCTCTGCAGTGTTTTACACATTGGTCATTTCTTTGTTAAACCCACTGATTTATAGCCTGTGGAATAAGGATGTGAAAGAAGCAGCAAAGAGATCAATAATATTGTGGCTGAGAATCTAAAGTAGACTCAATCCTGGTTATAGCCTTGCAAACCTGGCATTGATCTTAAATTGAATTACATGAAAATGGTAAAAAAGTAAAGAAATAATCTTCCATTGATATATCCTTATGTTATTTGGAGCAGAAATGCTTATTAATATGATAAAAATCACTCCCTTGATCAGTTTGTTTGGTAGGTAATATTATTTTAAAAGCTGAAATATATTGTTTTAAAAATTGTTTTAAAATGGGGATGGAGTTCACTCTTAGACAACCTTAAACTCGTGAACACATGAGCACCACTAAATTAGCTGAGTACCGTGTTTGTGTGTGTGTGTGTGTGTGTGTGTGTGTGTGTGTGTACAATTGTATATGTTACAAAAACAAGGAAAGAAAATATGAAGGAGGGAGGGCATGGGAGGAGTTGAGGGGGACTTGGGGAATGAAAATAATACAAATAAAATATTTATTAAACCCTCAAGAATGTTTAATTAACAAAATAAAAGTAATAAATACATGAAAATATAAGAAAAACTCTTAATATAATTTATGTAGACTGCTAATGTATTGTTACTGAATAAATTCTTACATTGTGGAAAGACAAAAAAGAAGAAGCTAGTAATCTAGATTCAGTGTTCTAATAGCAACCAGTTAGAAATATACATTAGAATGTTATCGCATGGGGTGGACTGATGTTTCTGTGATTAAGAACATGTGCTGCTCTTCTGAAGGACCTGTGTTCATTTCCCAACACCCATATCAGGTGGATAATATCTGCAGCAGAAGCTCCAGGGAATCCCACATCCTCTCCTGGGCACTCAGGCACTCACAACAACATAGGGCTGCTCACAACCAGCTGTTACTCCAGTTCCAAAGGATCCACAAACTTTTCTGATCCCTGTCCAATATACACCCACATTTACACAAACATATAAGTAAAAAATTAAATTTAAAACGATTTAAAAATAAAATCAAGGCCACAATTTTCATATATAATGTATTTTACATCTGCCAACATTCTAGTGAATATTTACATCTCCATGCAAGTTGCAATTCTTAGTTGTATGTTAGAATGGTTACAGAATGTTAAACTCTATTGTTTATATTTTTCCATAAGTAAACACCATTGGGAAACTTGCACTGTGCCTGCTAGTGTGATGTAGAAATCGAATGTGCTCTTTTGACCAGACTATGGGGAAGGAAGCCATAATGAAGAGCACATGGTGAAAACAAACTGGACTCAATAGACCTTAAAAAAAGACAACGGGGGGCTAGAGAGATGGCTGAGGGGTTAAAAACACCGGTTGTTCTTGCAGAAGCTCTGGGATTGAATCCCAGCACCCACATGGCAGCTAACAACTACCTGTAACTCCAGTCCCAGGGGATCCAACATCCTCTTCTGTCCTCCATGGGATTGCACAACACAGGTGTACTTACTTACATGCAGGCAATACATGCATACTCATAAAATAAAAATAATTTTTTAATGACAAAGGACATGAAGTGGGTGGGAGGTAGGGAGATGAGGGTGTATTTGAGAGAAAATGAGGGAGGATTACTGAAAATGATAAAAATATATTGTATGAAATTCTCAAAGAACCAATGAAAACACTATTTTAAGAAAAAAACAAAATTTTAAGAAAAGTTGGAAATAAAAATTGCTATTTAAGCATAATAAAATATACAAAGTTGGAGCTGTAGAGACAACTTGGCCCTGGCTCCTCTTCCAGAGGACCCAGGTTCAATTACTAGCACCCTCCTGGTGGCTAACAACCTTCTATAACCCCATTTCCATGCCCTCTTCTCTCTTCTGAGGGCTTTGCACAAATAAAGTGCACTCACATATGTAGACAAAATATTCTTACCTGAAAGAGTAGATGATATGAGGAGCAGCTTCATAGGTAGGACAGTTCTTGAACTCTAGGAAAACATGTTTTAAAACTCTTTCAAGGGCTAATAACTGAAACCCTAAGTAATGTGGTGTCAATACCACTATTTTAATGCCTGATTAAAGAGCAAATCATTAGCAGCAAAATGTATTCTGAACTTGTACAGCAAAAATATAACCTAATAGTCTCAGGAATATGAGGTTATGCTGGTAAAAATAGAAAAAATATGTATTTAAGAGACAGCACATTAAGATCTTAAACATGATGCAAAATGACTGAATACATGAAATTTAAGTTTGTTCTGTAAGAAAAGAGTATTAAGGTGATTGAAAGGTTTTGAGCATGCATCAGTGCAATAATAATTTGTTTAGGAGAAACAAAGTAAAATATAAACATCTGAGTTCTCACTGTCACTTCTAAAAGAAGAAATGTCTGGAAAGAGGGTATAACCTTAAAGATCCAGAAGTGGGAAATATCTTGGATAATTTAGAAAATAATATGGTAAGCTAAACTGTCACAAATACAGGAAGGAGAAATGCAATAGTAAAGTAGACCAGCTCATGCTGAGAACAATAAGTATCTTTAGAGATGTTGAATATGAAAAAAATGCCAAAATATCTATATACTGAAAACTCACTCATACTTAATAACATGTTGACTTTGGGGAGTGTTTTAAATAATGTATTAAGGTATTAAGCAGAGAAAGACAAAAGTAAGGGTCTGGAGAAACGGCTTAGTGGTTAAGAGCTCTCACTACCCTTCCAGGGACCCAGGTCCATTTCCGGTATACATATGACAGCTAACACCCATCCTAAACTCTGGTTTCTGGAGATTCTTTCCTCTCTTCTGGCCTCTGTGGGCATTGAATGCACATAACCTTGAATGCAGCTCAAACACACATATACATAAAACAAAATTTAAAAAAAAACTTTAATAAAAGGAAGAATGTCAAACATAAGTGACAAAAGCTTAGCCAGGGGTTGATGTGATTCCATCATTATGATGATGGATCAGGCAAAATAGTGATGTCAACAGAGAACTTAAAGATGATCCCAAGAATTTTTCAGTGGACTATAAAATGCAACCACAATTCATAAAACATCTAAAAAATTCACATCTACAATACTAACAAAACTTTTCATATATAATTCTAACAAGTAAGTAATTATAAATTGAAGAATGATATGATTTTCACTGTGGACAAAAAATTAAATTTAATTATTCTAACCACAATAAGGAAGATGAATAAATACATTACAGAAGTTTCATGGATTAGAAAGTAAATTCATAAGTGAAATTTGATATGAGTCTCACCTTTGTAAAATTCCAAAAATACACACAGTAGGAAAACATGAAAATATGTATTTGTCCAATTGGAGTTATCTCTGTATTTATAGGGCCAAAAATTGTAAATTATAAATATTTCAACATTCTAAACAAGTTTAGCGAAGAACCTTGAGCAGATCAAGAAATTGCATTTTATTATTTCTTAAATTTATAGAAAGCGTGACTATGTATGGCGTACTAGCGATTCAAAGTATTCAATTATATATGTGTGTGCTTGTGTATTAACATAGAATTCAAAGAGACAGAGGTTGACAAGGCTAATATACATATTAGAGTTGGTGCTTATACATAAGGGTGTTCTGAGACATTTTCTGGGGAGACGTGAAGGAAGTTCTACTCATCCCAGGTATCAAACCAATGAGGGAATTAATAATAATGTCACAAAAGTCCTATGTGGCAGATCAATGACTCTATTGTGGCTAATTTCATCAGTATGAGTGAGTGTTGATATACAGGAACATGGATTCCTCAAAGATGGCTGCATCATCAAATACCCGACCCCACCATTGATGATTCAGAAAAGCTGCATCTCTTGAGCTCTCTGCAGGACTTGCAGGCAGCTGGATAGGTTGTAGGTCTTCTGGGAGAGTCTCATACATAGAACAGCACAGCTGAAGTTGTAGTTAAATCTTCTGAAATCTTCTAATATTTGAATAGTGTTTGTTATTACTTAAAACAAAATATAACTGTGAAAGCTAGAAATAAGTATGACAATGAAAAGTTGGTTTAGTAGCCAAACCCAGAATGTCATTGATATTTTTTGTGGCTTATAGGCATGGACAGTTATCCACATACAGTAGACCATAGTCCACTACAAAGATGTCATATGATCCAACATGTCAGTAGTTGTTACTCCCAAGATGGAAATAGTGATCACATAAGACCCACATTATTCTCCAAAAGCCATTTCTAGATAAACTATTTGTAAGAGAATACAATAAACAAAATAATAGCATTCCTGAAATAGATATCAACATTTGTAAGTTAAGAAACACCAGCTCTTCCCACCAGGAAGAACAGCTTATAGATGATTTCTATGAGGGACTTATTAAGCAAACTAAGCTTTCATATATGAGATACACCATCTTTTAAGCGTATTCAGAGTCAAACTGATAGGTTTCAGTAGTTAACCTTATCCTAGTCTGTAGCAAGGTTTCCAGTTGATCACCTCAGCCTTTCTCCAGGAACTACTGCTGTTATCGATGTGCATCTGGTTACCATACAAACTTACAGATCTTCATCTGTAAAGCACCAAGTCCAGGCCACGTGCCCCTTTCACTTCTAAAATTTTGAGAAAGAATCAATCAGCCTTGACAGTTTCTATTAAGTATCGTTAAGTGTAGCTTTTATGTGTGGATTTATATTCACAGAATTTATGCCAACTATCATATTGACTGCACAATGTCATTTGGTTTGAGAACTGGAACAAAGTATTAAATTCTATAAAGTTGTTAGCATTTGTACTTATGTTCCATGGTTTTCCTTCATTTTATGGAATTAAAATTAGTTAATCAGGAATATACAGCCTTTTATTTTTTTATAATTTTATTTATTATTGGACAGGAGAGATGGCTCAGATATGACTCTTGCAGAGGACCAGGGTTTGTTTCCCAGTACCCACATGGTGACTAACAACCATCTGTAGCTCCAGTTTCAAGGATTTGAAGCCCTATTCTCACCTCTGTGTGCACTGAAAGACATGGGTGCATTTACACACATGCAGGCAATGCACTCATACACATAAAATAAAAATAATAAGAAAAATTAAAACAAAAAGCACCAACCAAGTTAAACCAATAAGATCAACAGCTTAAACAGACTCATAACAAATAAGTAATTTGAAACAGTAATACAAAACCTACAGACTACAAACTCCTAGTCCCAGATGGAGTCACAGCAGAATTCTACCAGACATTCAAAGATCTACAATCAATAATGCTTAAATTATTCAAGAAGACAGAAAGAGAACAAGAACTTTCAAACTACTTCAATGAAGCCAGCATCACTCTAATACCAAAAGCAGGTAAAAATACAACAGAAAAAGAAAACTATAGAACCATATCTTTAATGAACATAGATCCAAAGATATTCAGCAAAACACTCACAAACCACAAACAGAGACACATTAAAAAAATCATCCCCCACGATCCAGTCTTCTTTATTTCAGAAATGCAGTGATGATTCAATATAAGTAAGTCAATAAACGCATTAAGACATATAAATGGGCTGAAAGTCAAAAATCATGTGGTCATCTCTATAAATGTCAAAAAGACCTTTGATAAAAATCTCAATGTATGTACAATAAACCTATAGTCAATGCCATTCTAAATGAGAAAAACTAGAAGTATTTCTATTAAAATCGGGAACTAGACAGAGCTGTCCACTGTCTCCACTCCATTTCAATATAGTGTTTGAAACTCTTGCAAGAGCAATAAGACAAGAGAAGGAAATTAAGGAGTACCAACTAGAAGAGGTCAAATTATCACTATTTTCAGCTATGATATGATATTATACATAAATAATCCCCAAAATTCCATCAGAAAGCTATTAGAAATGTTTAATACTTTCAGTACATTGACAAGTTATAAAATTAACTTACAGAAATAAGTAGCCTTTTTTATATCAATACCAAACAATCAGAAAAAAGCATTCAAATAAAGTCTTCAATTCACAGTAACCTCAAAAATATTTAGTAATAAAACTAACAAAAGACATTAAAGACCTCTGCAATAAAAATTTCAAATCTATCATGAAAAATAGAGAAGAAGATATTATGAGATGGAAAGAGTACCCTACTCATGAATTGGTAAAATCAATCTTGTGACCATCTTATCCAAACCTAGCTATATATTCAATACAATGCCAATCAAATTACTGACAACAGAGCTGGAAAAAAAATCTTAAAATTCATAAGGAATCACAAAAGACCCCAGATAGCCAAAGAAATTTTGGGCAAAAGAACAACTGGTTGGATCACAAAAACAGATCTCAGATTATATCACAGAGCTACAGTTGTAAAAACTGCATGGTACTGGCACAAAAGTAGACATGTAGATCACTGGAACACAGTAGAAGCCCCAAATATGAGTACATGAAAATTCAGTCACCTGATATTTGATAAAGGTACCAAGAATTCAAAATGGAGAAAAGACAGCATCTTCAACAAATGGTGTTGACAAAACTGGATCTCCACTTGTAGAATGGAATTGCACCTTAATCTTTCCCCTGCACAAATGTCAACTCCAAATGGAAAATATAAATATAAAATATAAATATACAATATAAATCTCTGAAACTTCTAGGAGAAAATAAAGGTAGTACCCCCCCCCTGCAAGATATAGGTGTAGGAGAGGACTTTCCTTTATAAATAGGACATCAGCTGCTCAGGTATTAAGGTCAACAATCAATAAATAGGATTTCATTACACTACAAACTTCTGTACAGAAAAACAAACAACAAAAATAAGTATAAAAAAACCACGAATGGGAGAAAATTCTTTACCAGCACACGTGAGAGAGAATTAAAATCCAGAATATACAAAGGATTAAAAAAATAAAACCAAAGAAACAATAAAATAAATGATCCAATAAAATGATGGGTTATACCTGCAGAGAGTTCTCTAATAAAGAAATAAAAATGGCTGAGAAACACCTTGAAAAGTGCTCAACATCCTTTGTAAGTGGAGACATACAGATTAAAAAAAAACAACAACAACAACAAAAAAAAAAAAAACAGGTTAAGATGCTATCTTAACCCAGTCAGACTGGCTAGGATCAAAAGAACAAAGACACCAAACATAGTAAAGGATGTGGAGAAAAGGGAAAGCTCATTCATTGCTGGTGGGAATGGAAACTCCTGAAACCACTATGGAAAACAGTGTGGAAAACACTTAAAGAACTAAAAATTGACTTTCCATATGATCCAGTTATACCACTTCTTGGCATATGCCCAAGGGACTCATCCTGCTGTAGATATAACCTGTGCATCCATGTTTGTTGCTGCTCTTTTCACAATAGCTTAGAAATGGAAACAACCTAAATGCACTTCAACTGATGAATGGATAATGAAAATGTAGTACATTTGCACTATGAAGTTATTTTCAGTATTAAAAAAAAGATGAAATCATGAAGTTTGCAGGTAAATGGATATAACTTGAGAGTGTTTTACTAAGTGAAGTAACACAGACCTTTAAAAGCAAATGAGGT